ATCTGATATGTGGTTCTGACCCCCAAAGGGGTCGCGACCCACGGGTTGAGAACCGCGGGACTAGTCAGTCATCTTTGTGTTTCAATGGTGCATCTTTTGAAAATATTAATGAGGTTTATCAAACTAGAAGGCCAAAACTTGTAGGGTTTAAAGATTTTGAAAAAAAGACAACCAAAATTAAGCAACTAAAGAATAATAATATCTATTACTATGAATTATGACTGTTATTCATGTGAATATTTTTAAAATAAAGTATTCCATTGAAAACCACCACTAAGATTTTTATATTTTTAAAAATGAATATGAATTGCCAATAACCAATTGTATATTTTTATGTGAGATTTTAAGAAGTTAGCTATAGCTTATTAGCATAAACAAACAAACAAAAGAGATGCATCTCTGAGTTCTCATGATGAATCTACTTCCTCATCTGTGTTATTTTAGTTTGTGTTTTTGCTTTGGTCCAGGAAGGACTAAATAATTATCTTAACTTCAATTTTAAAGCACATTGTACCCAACATGGTTGATGTGCGCTTTCAGCCTTGGATCAGTGGGGTTAGTTAATGAAAAATTCCAAACTTGGATATTTTAAACATGCTCATGACATGTGATCAGCTAAATGGAAAACTAAATAGGTTTAATGAACTTAATAGTTTTCGTTCTTTGGTGTTATTGGTAAAAGTGGCACAGTCTTGTACCTTATGTTCTCGTCACCTTTTAATTCTGATTTACTCTGGTTTCAGGGCTTGTTTGTTTGTTTGTTTTAGGAAATGAACAGAAAAAAGCCACAGTTTTTATTTGGTGGGCAGAGGGAAGACTTTGGTGAGGGCTTAAATTGTAATTACTTATTGTTGAAAGGGAAGTATCCTGTCTTCTAGTGTTATTTTTTAACATCATTACCTTTGTCATTAACAAAATCTTATGCTGTTTAGTGAAGTCATTGTTAGTTTAATAGAGGTGTGTAATCTTTGTCTCCGAATTAAACTTTTCCAAATAAAATGTGAGGGATTAGGCAAAAAAAAGCACAGAAACCCTCTTAAACATAACAATATGGTGATTGCTGCGGGGAGTGGGGGGACAGGTAGAAGAGGGCTGGGCAGAGATGTGAGTGATAGTGCTGTTGTCACCATAGCCTTTGACTAGTTAGAATCCTTGTGTTGGAAATGACCTTAGACATCATATAACCCAACCTTTTCTTTTTGTTTTTAGATTTATCTTTGTATACACATACATTACAAAATATTTAAAAACTAGATCTAATTATTTTTGAATGTTATCCTTTAAATTTTTAAGAAAGAACAAAGAGTCCCTATGGGATAGCATATTTTAAAACATTTTTATTATAATTTTTTCAAAGTTCTTTATGCTAAAATAAGTGTTGCATTTTCCCATTAATTTGGAGGAATTTTATTTTTTTCTACCCCTAAAATAGTTAGGAATCATGTGTGTAAATTTTCTTTTTTACATATTAAGCTGTTTGGGAAAATATCACAGTAAGTCTCCTAAGAAGATGCCAGTGAAGCTTCCTATTAAATCAGAATGAGCCTGGGTGATTTCCCCACTTCCTTAAGGTCTTCTATTTCAAAAGCCAGTCAGTTAGAAATGTCCCTGGAGGTGCTGGTCATAGTAACCAAAATCTAGAAGCAACTCACTGTGAAGTATAAATAAATAGTGGTGTAGTCAAACACTGGAATATGGTACAAAGTGGGGAGTATTAATTTTAGGACAAATTAATATTGCAATAACAATGTGGATCAATCTCAGAAACACAATGTTGAGTGAAAGATGCCAGATACTAGATGTATATATTGTATGGTGGTATTTATATAAAGTTCCGAGGTGGGCAGTATTAGTCTAAGCTGTTAGGAGTTGGGATCTTGTCCTGGGGGGAGTGGGAAGTGGCTGGAGGGAACCCATCAAGTTTGTAGTGTTCTGATATGTGATTTTGTGATTTGAGTTTCATTATGAGTGTATTTAATTTGTAGAGATTCATAGAGTTTGTGCACTTTTTTTGTCTGTATGTTATATTTCAATAAAAACAGTATCATTGAAAAATCAAGAGTTTCTATTGAATGAAAAATAATGTGTTACTACATGTTTATTAGTTGGAGATGAAGGACCAAGAGCCAGGAAGAACAGGCAGGAGGCATTTCCAACGCTGGAGACTGTGTTCACAAAACTTCAGCTCCTTTCGTATTTTGATCAGCATCAAGTAACATCTCAGGTAGCCATTTAAAGCTGTTTATTATACATTTGGGATATTCATATTTTCTTAAAAGTCTCCTATGTAGTATATGTTTCTGGCCTTAGTTGGTTTAATAAATATGCTTTTAAGACATATTTGGAAGCATCTGAAACTATTGAGTAGCTCAGTTTTAAGGGTCAGGTTGTCTTCCTCAGAAGAATTAATTTTTATTTTGAAAATATTTTACCTTATGGTAATAATCAACATTATGTAAAATATCTCTAATGTAATGCTCATGTTTTACACTATGGTCCTTCATTGCTATTAATAAGGGAGAAATCTGTTCATGATAAATAAAGTACAGTTGAGAGGAAACCAACTCTGTTTTATTTTATAAATCCATTGATATTCAAATAGATATTATCTGGAAATTAATTAATACTTCAAGTCATCATAAGATCTAGACCAGGGGTGGGCAAACTTTTTGACTGGAGGGCCACAATGGGTTCTTAAACTGGACCGGAGGGCCGGAACAAAAGCATGGATGGAGTGTTTGTGTGAAACCAATTGTCCTAGATTGGGTCTAGATCTTATGATTACTTGGCTTATTTCTTCAGTTATAGTTGCAGTAAGGAAGTCAATTTGTACATATTTGGGTTTCTGTAGAAATAGGTTTTAACTGACTTCTAAGTAGAATCACATTTCAAATTTCTTAATACATAAAAATTATTTGGATATTGGTCTTATCATTATTTTCACCTTTTTTGCACAGATCTCTAACAATGTGCTGGAGCAGATCACAAGCTTTGCGTCCGGGACTTCCTATCACCTCCCTTTAGCTCACCATATTCAGCTCATCTTCGACCTCATGGAGCCAGCACTGAACATCAATGGACTAATTGACTTCTCAATACAGGTGTCAAAGAGACCCTGCTTCTCTCATTTTAGGAAAGGAAATGTACCAGGCATTGTTCAATTAAAAATGAGCCACCCAGTGCATTTTTTAATAATTAAGACATTCTGAATCAACAGTATTCAAATAGCTTTTTAATTGCAGCTTTGTTCATAGTTTTCAGTTAAATAATTATAATACTGTGCTAAAATATATACTAGTGATAGTCATTAAAAAGTGGGAATGTTTTGAGGGCATTTTTTTTGTCTTTTTATTACTTTGCTTTGAGAAAGATGAAAGGTTGTTTGCTGTTTATAATAGAGTATATTTTAAGTTAAGAGCAAAACAATAGAACCTTATAATTTGATTTGCCCTGCTATATTATATATATAGTATATTTAATATATTATATATATTATATATTTGAGTATATTTCTTATGTTGTTAGTAAATAGAAATGAAAGTTGGTTTCTATTGCTTATTCTCTTAATAATCTCTCTTTGTTTTATTAAAAAGAAGGAGAAAAGGAGAAAAAAGTGAGAGGTGGAATGTTCTCTGAAATTATTCAGTCTAGAGCTTTAGCTTTGGGCTGCCATAAAGTGTTGGTAACTACTTTAATATTGGATACTTTCTAACTGCATGTACCTTGGTGTCTACATAAAAGAAAAACTCCATAATTTGGTAAAGGATAAAAAATGAAAATCATTGTAATTCACTGGGTGTGTTTTTCTGAGACAGGTTATGATTATGGATATGGATATGGCCCTGGGGCAGGATAAGGGGCGAGATAAAAGTATTACTAGAATGACTCAATACATGCATGGTTTTTAAAAATAAATGCTTTCCTATGTGCTTGGGAGCTACATTTTCATCTAATCTTTTCTTTCATTGTAGTTACTAAATGAACTGAGTGTTGTGGAAGCCGAACTGCTCCTGAAATCCTCCAGCCTCGCAGGCAGCTACACCACAGGCCTCTGTGTCTGCATCGTGGCTGTTCTCAGGCGCTACCACAGCTGTCTGATCCTGAACCCTGAGCAAACAGCCCAGGTGTTTGAAGGGTTGGTATATTAAGTATCATTACTGTTTCACATCGTATAATGTATAATTGTGATGAAATATTATAGTATTATAATATTACCTAATCTAATAAAAGACAAACATGCAAATTGACCATACCTTCGCTACACCTTAAGCCATACCCACCAGCCAATCAGAGCGACTATATGCAAATTAACCCAGTCAAGATGGCAGTCGGCAGCCATGGAGGTGGAGCAACAGGAGGCCTGGTTGCTCCAGTGATGGATGAAGCCAAGCTTCCTGCCTGCCGCAGCTGGCTCTAAGCTCCACTCAAGGCAACAAAGTTTCAATTATAGAAAATAAATTAACCCCAGATACCAGCTTTCAGCTGGCCATGGCCACAGAGCTGGAGTGAGCAGGAGGCTTGGGTTGCCCCTGGCGATGGAGGAAGCCAAGCTTCCCACTCTCCCTGGCTGGCTCTGAGCTCCACTCAAGGCTTCAAAGTTTTAATTATAGGAGGTAAATAAATCCCAGAATTTAAAAAAAAGAAAAAAAAGAAGAAGCTGGGAGCTTCCATCGCCGGAAAGCTTGGCCAGCCTGAAAACAGCCCTCAGCCCCTCACCCACACTGGCCAGGCTACCCAGTGGGGACCCCCCCACCCTGAAGGGGGTGTGACCAGCCTGCAAACAGCCATCAGCCCCTCAGGCTGGCCAGGCACCCCAGTGGAGACCCCCACCCTGAAGGGGGTCTGACCCGCCTCCTCAGCAGCGCTAAGGATGTCTAACTGCAGGTTAGGCCTGCTCCCCCCTTGCAAGTGGCCATCCCCCGAGGGCTCCTGCGCTGCCAGAGGGATGTCTGACTGCCATCTTAGGCCCAATCCCCCAGGAGCGGGCCTAAGCCAGCAGGTGGTCATCCCCTGAGGAGTCCCAGACTGTGACAGGGCACAGACCGGGCTGAGGGACCCCCACCCTCATAATACTACTAGAGGCCCGGTGCACAAAAATTTGTGCACTGGGGGGATGTTGTAAATGGGGAGGGGGGGTTCCTCAGCCCCACCTGTGCCCTTTTGCAGTCCAGAAGCCCTCAGGGGATGTCCGACTGTCCCCATTGAGAGCAGGCCTAAGCCGTCAGTCAGACATCCTTAGTGCTGAAGTGGAGGCGGGAGAGGCTCCCGCCACTGCCACTATGTTAGCCAGCCATCAGCCCGGCTTCTGGTTGCACTCCCACAAGTAGAGCACACTGACCACCAGGGGGCAACTCCTGCATTGAGTGTCTTGCCCCCTGGTGGTCAGTGTGTGTCATAGTGACCAGCCATTTGGTGTTCAGTCGATTTGCATATCAGCCTTTTATTATATAGGATAGTATAGTAGAGCAGAGAAAAATAGTATTGATATTTATTTCAATAAAGAGATATAAGATACTTAAAGAATATTTTTGTAAGAAAACATGTACCAAAGAAGAGTTATAAGAATGAAAAAATATTTTCTTTTTTTAAAATGTGATTCCTTTCTCCCTTTCTCTTTTCCTTTCTCTTTACCATCTGCCTTACTTCCCTCCCCGTGGTTTCTGTGAACACAAGCCTGTCATTTATAGCACTCTGTCATCTGCCCTACCAGTGTCGTGGGTAATTATGAATGGCACACATGTGACAACTTTTTTGTTCGTGTAATTTCAGTTTATATTTGGAGAATCCAACACTGAATAAGCTTTGCATGCATTGTCATTTTAGAGATTTACTTCTTTAACTTCATTGTTTTAAAAAACTAAACCTATCTTTTGATAAGATAATCGAAACTGACTTTCTTAATTCTTAGTCTTTTTTGGTTTGTGTGAATTGTAATATGAGGTTTTCTCTACTACTACAAGTTGGTTAATAATTACCTAATACCATCCCCATTAGAGACTGAGGTTACAGGGACCTGGGTAGAATAATTAGCTCTCAAAAAACCCTATACTGGGCTCCTTTTTGTCCACCGAAGACTCACTCCTTTCCCAGGCTTTTATATAAAAAAGACAACCTGTTTTTCTTTATCTTCCATTTTCCTCCTGGGTTCAAAAGAAACATGGAGGTCTTTGGTTCTGTAGTACTCTTTTTTTGTGATCTACTACATGTAATCAATTTACACTCTACTCAAGAGTAACATGCATTTAACAGCAGCTCTCTCAGGGAAAAGGAAGTGCTATCACATTAATTATGCATGAAGATTATTAAGTGAAATCTGAAATATCCAAGATAGTTTCACATGTGAAAAAATTAACATATTAGAATTCAGGAAATATAGGACTGTTTAATATGACCCTCAACTACCCTGTGAAGTTGAATAATTAATATCACTTTACAAGTGAAGAGACTGAAACTCAGGCTTGTTAAAGGAAGTGGTTGGCGAAGGGATATACCCAGCATCACATCACTAAATCTCCCAGGCTGCTGAAGTCTTTCGAGCTAGGAGCTCACTCATGCTGTCTAATCTACACCGTGCTTGTTTAACTGCATGAAGCCCATTAGTTGGTCATTAAATGAATATAATAGATTTTTGACAAGAATATTTTTTATTTTTGTTTATTTTGAAATTCATTTCAATATTTATCTTGACATTTTAAATTTATTTTATAAAATGTTCATAAAATCATATTTAATATTAACTTTATTATATTTTTTACTTTATCGTACATAGTAAGGGTATTTTACCCAAAATTATTATTTTGTTTTTCTGTACTTATATGAATGGATATACTGGATGTCAGTGTAAAATGTTTTTCTTTCCAATGGCAAGTGAAAAATAAATGAGGAAAACATTGATTACAAACATTGACTGTTATACTCCCAATAAATGTTTATTTACAAAATAATTCTTTGCTTTTTAGGTTATATTTGGAATTTTTTGTTTATATAGTTAACTGTTGATTGAATCTGTTTTTCATAATTACGTGACTCTTTTGCTATAATTGACAGCTTATATCTGCTGCCCACTGGCCCCGTTTGCTGATGCCATTTCATATTGTTTGGAATGCTATGTTGCCATTTCCTCTTGTACTTTCCTGAGTTCCACATCTGGTATTTGTGATTCCTTCTTGGCCTGAGTATCCTAGGCTCCCTCTGGCTTCACCCTGTTCCCTAAATAGTGGAGTGAACTGTTGCTTGGGAACATGGAGACCTAAGCTCTCTTGGATCTGCTGTGAACTCGCTCTTAGCCTGTGTGCAGGTGACCTTACTTTTCTGAGCCTGAGAGCCCTCTTTGTAAAATGAGGAAGCTGAGTCAGTTCATTCCCAAAGCCCATTTGAGCTTTAATAATCTGAACCATCACACTGTCATAGGCTGACCCCTTTAACAGAATACAAGGTGGTGGTGGCATCAGATTCACAAAGAGGGGGCTGGACCACCTTTTTATCTCTGTGTTGTGTAACCTTCTGTGTTGTATGAACTGGGGTGAAAGAGGCCACAGTTAGGGTTTGGGGAAATGGCACAGACTGCAGCAGCAATGGTACTTTGAACGGAAAGACTTCAGGGAATGTTTCTAAGGGGAAGGGGATTTGGTTCTTATATGAGATAAACTAATGTAAATTTGTTTCTAGTTTGGAGAAACAAGGGAAATGTGACCTCTAACTGTGAATTCACCAGGTTCATATGAGCACCAGCTCATGGTTTAAAAATGGATTTCCCAGATTTACTGATTAAGAATTGATCCTTAACAAAGAAGTAGATTTGGGGATCTTTGAAAATTCACTGAATTAGTGAATCTTTTTGCTGAGGAGAGATTCTCTACTTTCACATTCCTTTATGTTCTAGTCACAGCAACTTAATTGAGGATTCATTCATATATACTTTCTGTATGGAGGAATTTCTATTTTTCTTGTTGTTAATGCCATTTTTGAAGTTTTCTAAAAAAAAATATCTAGTACTTTAATATTATAATAAACTGATATTTTTCTTAATTATTTACTACTGTTATAATGATTAGTGTCAACAATCTAATACCTTTTTATACAAGTAATAAATGGACATATTCTCTAAAAGATTTAAACAGTAGCTTATGTATCAGCAACATGTATATCTCACTCCTCACATGCTGTCTCCTCAGGCTGTGTAGTGTGGTAAAGCACGTTGTGAATCCCTCAGAGTGCTCTTCTCCTGAGAGATGCATCTTAGCCTACCTCTATGATCTCTACGTGTCATGTAGCCATCTCAGAAGTAAATTTGGAGACCTCTTCAGGTGGGTAGAAGAAAATCAAAAGAATAGGGGTAGGGTTATATCTCTGTTTATTAGTGACTAGACCAATATTGTCATCCTTTTTAATAGTGAAAGTTAGTCATAATTACATCTGCCAGAATTCATATTGAGTTACCTTTCATTGTATCTATAACCTTATTACAAATGAGTGTTTAACTGTGATTGCGATTTTGAGATAAACTTGTGATACAGTATTTTATATTTTGCACTTGCTCTTACCTCACTGGGAACATTGTTTCCCACTTTGTGTGCACTCACTTTCTCACTTTGTTTCTCTGCTTCCATTATCATCCTGTTTGAAACAGCATCCCTGACTCCCTTTCATTCTCTGCATCTTAGCACTTGCTACCACCACAGGTACACAGATGTTGGAAAATACATACTTACTTAATGTTATTTTGAGGAAACTCGGATTATTAATTATAGGAGACAGTCATAACTGGCAAAATAAATTTAGAATCTAGAAGAAGGTAAGGAAAACACGATCAGTTACGGTTTTCTCTACTCCATATTTTACACCCATTTGTTTGTAAATCCTATGAGCTAGCTCTACCTTCCAGGTATAGTACCGAGAATCTGACTGCTCTTCATTGCTCTGTCACGACCACCACGGTCATCTCCTGGTTAGACCATTGTGTAGCTCTTCTCACTGGTTTCCCCGCTTGCCTCCTTGACTCTCTTGAGCATATTATCAACACATCTACTAAAATCATCCTTTTAAAACAAGAACAATAAAGTTTTCCAATGGCTTCTCATCTATTCAGAATAAAAACCTCTGAAGTCATTACCTAGCCTTTAGGACCTACTGGATCTGATTTTCTCTTCTGCCTTTTCCCCCTTGTTCCATTCTAACTGTGTGCACCTCCTTCCTGGTCTTCAGACACTCTGAGCAACCATTGTAGGGCATTTGCACTTGCTATTACCTCTCTTGTGTTTTTCCTAGCTACTTGCATGCTCACGTCCACAATTCATTCACGGCTTTCCTCCCAACCACCCTGTTTACGTATTTATTTATTTAATTATTTATTTATTTGTTTGTTTGTTTTAAAATATATTTTTATTGATTTCAGAGAGGAAGGGAGAGGGAGAGAGAAATATCAATGATGAGAGAGAATCATTGATTGGCTGCCTCCTGCACGCCCCCAACTGGGGATCAAGCCTGCAATCCGGGCATGTGCCCTTGACTGGAGTCGAACCTGGGACCCTTCAGGTCAGGCCAACGTTCTATCCACTGAGCCAAACCAAGTAGGCTCAGTAGGGCCCAACCACTGCATTTTAAATAGCATACCCTTCTGCCTACACTGTCATTCTTTGACCTTAGCACTAACCCTGGCACATTGCATATTTATTTATCATCTCTCTCCTTCCTAGAATGTAAGCTTGCCAACAGTAGAAACTTTTTCTGTTTCATTCGCTGCTATGCCCCAGTACCTGGAAAAGTGTCTGGCACATAGGAAGCACTTAAAAAATGTCTGTTAAATAAAAGATATATACAAAAATATCATGAAACTTTTCATGGTATCAATAGGGAAAAATGTGAAAGTATATCTCCATGAATGGTTAGGTTTCAAAATAATCCCTTACAGGGATGCTGTTTGAGTGAATCTTATGAAACATCTTTTCACAGGAATTATGTAAGAGCAGTAATAACCTGTATCCTGCTGCGTTTTCACTCAGAGCTTTCAGTTGACAGTTTTTAGAGAGCTTTCTTATGCGTGATTCACTTTAGGCAACAGCCCTGTTCTTAATAGTGAACTTCCTAGAAAGCTCCAGGAGCCCTAACGCTCCTGCCGGGCAGTGTAAATGAGTTCATTCCAGTCTTGTAACCTGGGTGCGTGGAGATCAGGAGACCAGCTTGCACTGAGGGCTGCTTGGGATCGGCACAGCGGTGCCCCACAGCTGTGACACTGGCTGAGGTTCCCTTGATTAAGAAGTGGCAGAGAAAAAGCTGTCCCAGGAAACCTGGAAGTCAGACATTATTTGCAGTTTAGGATTAAGAAATATGGCCCAACAAAAGCTAGATATGCAGAGAGATTTCTGTTAATATACTAATAAACCAGTTTTAATAATTTGATCTGAAGCACCATCTATAAAGTTGTGGAAGAGGAATATTTGGGGGACATATTCATACCTACCACTGATTGAGCTACTGCTTGTGCCAAGCACAGCACTGGGCTGTTTCCATCAAGATACTTACTCCACTCAACAACCTCAGGAAGTAGAAATGGTGTTTCCTATCACCAAGTCATTGTTCCTCATCCTAATTAATAAATGATGAAACTTAGACTTGAACAGAAGTAATTTTGGCCTCCAAGTGTGTGTTGCTTTCATCACTCTATCGGAGTCTATCGGGTTTTTTGATACGGGCAATTTCAGAAGGGAAATACCTAGGTTATTTCCTTAAACCCATATATGCCTGCACAGAGAGTGGTAAAAATCTGAGAGTGACCGAGGTAGCAGCTGACTTTTTAATAAAACATAGACGCTCACCTGGAAAGAGTCTAATAAATGAAATAGGAAACCTAGAAATGAAGGGCGAGGACACTTTCCCGTGAGCCATAGAGTTCAGAAAAAGTGAGCATTCCTGGCTGGAGGTCGGCAGAATTCTTTTGTTTCTAAAGGCAGGAATGAATAGCATGTTAGAATTAAGTGGGAGGCTGAATAAAATAGACAATGCTTCACTACTTGCAGAAGACTGTTTCCTCCAACACTCAGGGAATTGGGAGGTGGAGGAAACCAAGGATGTGGTGTTAGGGAGGGAATTGGCAACGAGCAAAGTTTGATTTTGTTTCATCTCTAGTGGGGAAATGAAACGAATTATGAACTCTTGCTAAGTGAGAATGAAAGAAAAGTTAAGTAGAAAGTTGGCAAGAGTTGTAAAGTCAGAAACTGGAGATTTAAAAAGCCCTGAAGACTATATAGCATCCATCATTTTGAGCAGGTCATAAGTCTAGATGGTAAATGTGCATCCTTCAGTGACCACTGAGGAATTTTTACATAAGTTACCTGGAAAGAAAGATAGTGTAGATTACAATTACTGCCATTTAGTGGGAAGGTTAGTCCTCTCTAATGGACCAGTGCTTCCCAAGCACTTTTGGCAGTTGGATTTACCTGGAACAGTATTTTAAACATACAGATTCAGTAAACCTACAGAGGTGATTCTGAAGGAGGAGGTTTTGGTAAAGCACAAATTGAACAATCTCTGTTTTCTTAAAGCAGTTGACAGTGGCAACAGTTTAGGGTAAAGAGTGTTATTTATATGCCTTTTCATTGTTAAAGCAATCATTTCTGGGTACTATTTATGTAGGTGTATAACACTAGGGGTAAAAAGCCATATGTTGCCTTCATCACAAGTAAATTTGCTGCCAAAAAGTTAATCTAAAAGAAAAAGATTCTCTGCTGCATAAGAGAGCTCTTGAATAGAGGTGGATGCTGCTTATGAACTCATGTCCACAGCAATAGGAAGGAATAGCTGAGTATACATGGGGTCTGAGCTTTGAAATCAGATTGTCCCTCAGCTCCATCTGCAGAGCCAGATTGGATCAGATACTTTCTAATTCCCTTTGTACTTCTAACATTCTATGTCATATTCACATATAACTCACTGAAACATACTCTGTTTTCATGATAAGCCAGCCTCTTAAAAATCTCTTAATCCTGCTACAAGGCAGAACATGATAAACTTTTAGGAATAATAGTTTATTCACTCTTATTTAATTTGTGTATCATCCGTTTCCCCCAACTGGAATGCAAGCTCCTGGAGGGCAGGGAATGAGCCTCTCTTTCACAGCTCTGACCACTTGACCTCTGCTGGATACCCTGTACCTAGAGGAATAGTTTTACAAGATATGTAATTACTACTAAGCCCTGAATTATTCCTGATGTTTAGTCTAACCTATTTTTATTCTTAAGTAATAACACTTTGCAACTACTGTTTAGAGATAGTTGTTGAAAGCCTTAGTACAGCTGTGGGCAAACTACGGCCCACGGGCTGGATCCGGCCCGTTTGAAATGAATAAAACTAAAAAAAAAAAAAGACTGTACCCTTTTATGTAATGATGTTTACTTTGAATTTATATTAGTTCATACAAACACTCCATCCATGCTTTTGTTCCAGCCCTACGGTCCAGTTTAAGAACCCATTGTGGCCCTCGAGTCAAAAAGTTTGCCCACCCCTGCCTTAGTAAATTCTTTTATTTTTGCAACATATAAAATGTAGAAAAAAAATAGAAAATAATTAAGATTAGTAACCAAGTTCTTATTCTTGTTTTGTTCTTCACACCCATTCAGCAACTATTTATTGACCCAACGAATACATTCCAGGTACTGTGTTCAGTGCTGATTATTAAGAAATTGGAATCTAGAACTCAATGTGACTCTTTTATAAGAATACATTACAGTTGCTACCATTTAATCTGTCCTTAAATTAACTTTCTAGCTATTCTACTTTTTTTTTCTTAACTCTTCTTCTTGTAACCTCAGTAGTGCCTGTTCAAAAGTTAAGCAGACCATATATAATAATGTGATACCTGCTAATTCTAACTTGCGATGGGATCCGGACTTCATGATGGATTTTATTGAGAATCCTTCAGCTTGTAGCATCAACTACTCTATGCTAGGCAAGATCCTCAGTGACAATGCAGCCAATCGCTACAGCTTCGTCTGCAATACACTCATGAATGTATGTATGGGCCATCAGGATGCTGGAAGGTAAGCTGAGTTACCCTGAATTTTGTGACTAACCACAGTTGTTGCTTTGGTGCTACTTTGAAATTAACTTCCTTAGTAATTGCCTAGGCTGACAGTTGAATGTTGTTTTCTCTCTTTTTTGTATATTATTTTATCTGCTCTGTACTATGATTTCCTTAACCCAAGAGACAAAAACATATACAAGAAAAAATACAAATAAAAATTGTGTATATTTTTAAAATACTGTACTTAGGCTACCTAGATTACATAGTTTCTAAAACAAAAAAATTATGTTCTTAAAAGGTCATTGTATAGGTTAAGTTTTTTCACAGAGTAATTGACATCTGTAATGGTTATTGTTTGTTGTTTACCAGCATTAGAAACAGGAAACATTTAAAGCCATTCACTTTTATCTTCTCCAGGTTCTACTAGGTTATTTGTCAAGTGGGTATTTATTATATCCTTGACTATAAGAAATGAATGACTTGTTTATGGTAGTGAAATATGTGTTCTTAAGTATGTCACATGCAGTATTTCTTTTTTGTTACTTTATAGTGTGTCTGTTCTTTTTCTTCTTTCTAGGATTAATGACATAGCCAATTTCTCCTCTGAGCTGACAGCATGCTGCACTGTTCTTAGTTCAGAGTGGCTGGGAGTTCTGAAGGCTCTCTGCTGTTCTTCCAATCACGTGTGGGGGTTCAATGATGTACTTTGCACAGTAGATGTAAGTGTTCTTTTTCACTTAAGAACTCAACTGCAATTAAATATTTAGTTAGTGAGCAATATTTTTTAATTGACTCAACCCTTAACTGAAATGTAAAATTTTTTTCCTTTTCTCACTTTAAGCAGTATACCAGAGTGTGGTTGGTGCTGTGTTGCATGAGAATGTCCAGGCTCAGATTCATTGGGGCATCCAGTCTTTCTTAGTGATTGTGTCTGGAAGTGATGAAAATATACCCATTTATATCACAGATTTCCTAGAATATTATATGCATGATATTCGAATTTCTTAAAAATCCATCTTGATTCTTTATCTATTTTTGCCTATCACTTCTTGGTGTGATCTTTTGTATGTTAATATATCGTACATATAGAACAATTTTATACATTTTAAAACATACCTCCCAGTTGAAGTTGAACTTCCTAATTCTGATATCTCAAGTCTGAGTTGGACAGTCCTACTTCATTCTGTGTCTCGCTAAAATTTTAGGCATGGAAAACTCCTGGTGGCCTGCTTTTCTAGACAGGAAAGACACATATTTTTATCTTTAACATTGTTCCTTAACCTCTTAGTTGTTTTTGTTATTCTCTACGTCTGGTTAGTTCACTCATCTATAAAATTGGAATTAACAGTAGTATGAACCTCATGGTGTTGTGCAGTTAAATGAGGTGACTTTTTGTAGATTGCTACCCACACTCCCTGGCATATACTACAACTTACTAATAAGGTTGCTATTACAGCTTTTTAAATTGTTATTATTTTCTGCCAAAGTCTTGTGAAATCTGTAAAGGTAGAGGTTATATTATGAATGAAATAACTTTTCTTCCTCTTTACTCTCCTTTGAAAATTTAGGAGTCAATTATAAATTTTCAGAGTTATTTTTAAAACTAATTTACTTATATTAAAGACTCATTACTTTGTTATCTCTGAATAGAACCCCGAACCATTACTGAGGCTTGTGTTTTAACTAGGGCAACCTCCAGGTTTTTCCTTGCTTATTAATGGCTACCCTTAAATAGCAGATCCTACTGAATTTTGCAGAAAAGTTGTATTTTTGCTACATCTTTTAGGGATTTCTTGATTTTTTTTTCTTATTGTTGTGGGGTGTTTTTTTCCACTTATTTGTACCCAAGATGAAGCCCAGTGTCTTCTTACAGCACTGGGATGTGGGTAAACCTCATTTGTTGTCTTATAAAGTAGAAATAGGCCTAGAGAATACTCATGCTAAGTTTCATTCACTCATTTGGGGATCTGAAACCTCATTGGTGTTGCCTACATTCTCTTAGATATTAATCTTAGCTGTTACTGAAAGGGTGTTAGGTATTAAAACGTGTCAATGTTTTTCTTGAAGGTGAGTGACCTTTCATTCCATGATTCACTAGCTACTTTCATTGCTATTCTGATAGCACGACAGTGTTTCTCCTTGGAGGACGTCGTGCAGCACGTGGCACTGCCCTCTCTCCTTGCGGCAGGTGAGGTGGCATCCGGGACAGCCGTGGGCATGTGATGCTGGTCTTGGTGGGATGGTGTCTAACTAGTGAAACCCAGTGAGGGTAGTATTCAGGGGCACATGCGTTGGGCCGTGGTGTGGCTTGCAGGTAAAGATGGTAGAACTGTATATCTTGTTCTACCCAGAGCACTGTGACTCCCTGGATGTTGGTACCTAGTTTTGAGGAAGCACGTACATTCAAGTTTCTCAGGAAAGTGTAGCTGGTGTCTTACTTTTTACCATAAGTAGCATGTTTTTACATTATTCCAGAAAGTTTAGCTAAATAGCAGGCCTGGAGACATGTTCTTGAACATGTGAGAAAACTTGCTTTGGAAATCTTTCTTCCCCAGCTTGTGGAGACGCGGATGCCGAGCCCGGGGCCAGGATGACCTGCCGCCTCCTGCTCCATCTCTTCCGAGCCCCCCAGGCCTGCTTATTACCTCAAGCAGCCGGTGAGCTGATAGCCCCAAACCTCTGATTATGTTTTCATTTGCAGCTCCAGGTTCTCAAATGACCAAGTAGGCTGTTCATTCTGTAATTTCCTTCCTGACTTTGGGGGGCCTGCTTGAGGGTGATGAAGGGGTGCAATGATGCCACTGAGAGGGCTGTCAACACCTTTCATTTATGTAATATCAGGATGTGTTGAGAAACTCAAATCCAGAGTTAATAAACAATAAAAATACTTTTGCTCTTAGGCCAGCCATGCTGGTGGGCAGCGTGATCCTCTAACATACTATGCATGTTAGTTGTGAACCACAGCATAGCAGCTTAGGGCAGTGATTCATTTATGTTTTTACTAAAGGGAAAACATCTAGGGATGCTGGTGAAATCTGTTCCTAAAGATAATTTCCATGTTAGGGTGTGTGTGTGTGTGTGTGTGTGTGGAGAGAGAGAGAGAAGAGAGAGACCATCAGCATAAATGGATGAAAATCCTAATGTTTTTGACACATCTCTCTAAGGAGCAAAGACGTTATTATTTTAATAGTAAAAAAAAGAAACGGTTAAGCACAGGGTGCTGGCAACGTTTCTTAGTGAATTCATGAAGCATCAATTAAAGCTAGCTAATGGCAATTAAGCACCCACAGTCTAACAATGAAAAGCCCTACTACTGTAAATGGTTACAAAACACTGTTAATAATGGTGATGAGATGATGAAAGGCTTGTTCTTTGTTCTCATAGGCAAAACTTTCCCTGGAATAAGATCATCTTGTGATAGACACCTTTTAGCTGCTGCTCACAACAGCATCGAAGTGGGAGCAGTGTTTGCTGTTTTAAAAGCAATTATGATGCTTGGTAAGACTATCTTGGCACTAAGCTTGGTTAATCACCAGAAGTTTAATTCAATTTAATATTAATAGAAATATTTTGTTGTTGTCGTTGCTGTTGTTGTTGGCTTTCCCCAAGTCCAAGTTCAGTTGTACTCCAAGAAGTCTGTCCCTTACCTACAACACTGGTGGAATTTAAATATATTTTTTTGGTGGGATTTTAACTGCATGCTGTCTCATTCTGATATAATACAGATCCTCAGACCTCCTAGCTTGTGTTGCCTTCATTTGTTGGCGTAAGTCACACTTTGTGATGGACATAGAAAACTTGATGACCTAGTCAAAGGTTTAAATCCCATGTTATATTCTAGGAGTAAATCACCAGAAAACCTGGGTTTCAATCCTAGTGTTTCTGCTTCCACTGTGACCCTGAACAAGTTTATAACCCTGTACCATAGTTTTTTCATCAATCAGGTGATAATTGCATTGAGATTGATATTACTGATAAATCAGTATAACATAGCATAATTTTATATAATTTATATTGACCAAGATGTCTTTTATATTTTTATTGGTATATACATCCTCCTGGAGTAGTAGCACTGCCTTTCCTGTTCATTTGTAGTGCAATGCTTTAAGACATTTTTATTCTGTAAATTAGGAGAATGATTGGGAAGACTTGAATCACACTATCACATTCCAACTTTGGGTGCCCTCTTTTGGCCTTCACTAAACAAATGTTATCTCTTATGCTCTGAAGGAGCCCCCTCTCATTAGAACAGACGTTACTGCACGGATGAGAATGGTCTTTGATGAGTATTAAAGAGCGTGTTTGAGGATAAAGCCTATCCCTTTATACTTCATCTTGGAAAGTGTTATTTGATGATGACAAGGATGGAAAACAGGGCTTTCATAAAACAGATTATTAAAAGTGCATCCAGCCCTAGCTGGTTTGGCTCAGTAGATAGAGAGCATCAGCCTACGGACTGAAAGGTCCCAGGTTTGATTCCAGCCAAGGGCACATGCCTGGGTTGTGGGCTTGGTCCCCAGTAGGGGGCGTGCAGGTGGCAGCCGATCAATGATTCTGTCTCATCATTGATGTTTCTATCTCTCTTTCCTTCTCCTTCTCTGAAATCAATAAAGAAATATATATTTTTTAAAAAGTGCATCTAAAAATACCTACATATACACATACATACATACATGCATATATACATACATGCAAATTATTAAATGTGCATCTAAAAATAAGCATACACATAAAACATACATATATACATATACATACATGTGTATATATGTATACATACACAGATACATGATGCTCCTGTTACACCCAGGAATTTTGAAGTAAAAAGAAAAAGGTAAAGTCACATGGAGGGCTACAGCCTTCCTCTAAGCTCAGGAGCTTGTGTATACAGCCAACATTAAATGATCATCTCAGTAATAAAATTTCTGTACATTTGAAAGGAAAGATGGCTGGTTAGTTCCGTTTAATAGTAAAGGTAGAGACCATTGTTAACTGTATTTTGTTTATGGTAACAAACATAACATAACCATGAATTTAGGGATTCACCTTTTTACTGTGGTAGCTAATGTTCATCAGAGAAACTAAATAGAAGATTTCCCATAAACTAATTTTGGAAGTGTGACTGCATTAAGTGATAGACATTTTAATGGTAGAAACCAAGATGAGTGCAATGTAGATATTGTCACTTTGGTTTGAAGGACTAGTTTGATCCCAAGTAAAATTGGCCAACCTTTTTAAATATCCAAATAACCATAGTTTACTATCCATGTATAATCATCAATTCACTTTTCTTTGACTGCCTCTCCTTGACCTTTTTATTTTAATTTATTTTATTTTTAAAGATATGTTTTTATTGATTTCAGAGAGAGGAAGGGAGAGGGAGAGAGAGATAGAAACAGCAATGACGAGAGAGAATCACCAATTGGCTGCCTCCTGCCCTCCCCCTGCTGTGGTTCAAGCTCAAAATCCAGGCATGTGCCCTGACCGGGAATCAAACTGTGACCTCGTGGTTCATAGGTCGACGTTCAACCACTGATCCACCCCAGCTGGGCTCCTTGAGCTTTTTCATTGGCTTCAGTTCTTGGAGGAATCTACAGCTTTCTAAGCATTGCTTCCCAAGTCAGGATTAGGTCAGTTGAATGCCAGCAGAGCCTGGGGCCTGGCTGTTACTGAACACCGTTCTAATGTTTTATTGTCTATATGATTGTAGAAGGTTCTGGTACAACCTCCAGGTCATCCTAACATCTATACTGATTTGAGGATCTCCTAGTCTGGGACTAGCAGATATGTTTGTTTCTTTGTTTTTGCAGAAATTTTAACTTACCTATCTCACATGTTCTAACCAATGTTCTCTCAAGTCCTGTCCATCAGGACTGATGTTGAATTAGGGAAATAGAACAGTTATGTAGAATTTGGTTTCTAATGTCTATAGCAGTTTAACTTAAGGTGTAAAAATAGTTGTTTATATCACTAAAAAGCATGCTAAATTTTGATACATACAGAATCTGGTCTTTCTCGCAACTCCTAAAGAACTCTGTTTAATTAAATAAATTCCTATGGGTAAAGTGAAATTGGTAATATTTGCCCATATATTTTAATGAGAAATGTTTGATAATAAAAATGAAGATATTGCTGAGTTGAAATGTATTTTTATTCCTCCCTTCCTTTTAATGATTTTATAAGTAAATATTCAATAAGCAATTCTGATTTTTCATGTTTTTTCATCAGAGTCAAAACTTTTTCCTAGTTGACTTGTAGGTTTTAAAAGACTTTTTGCACTAACCTGGGTGTGGTTTTCTCTGAGGGCCTCCTATAAACTCATTTGTTGGTTCCAGGAATTTTTTTCTCTAAAGGCTTATGATCCTGTGGGTAAACAGGCAAAAGTTTGGAGGCTCTGTTGTCCTTTGGCAAGGTTTATTACCAAATTATTTTATTTTTTCACCGTCAAAATATGACAGTTCTTTGTCTTTCGCAGCTAAAGAAGATTTCTTATATCTAGATCAGTGGTCAGCAAACTGTGGCTCGCGAGCCACATGTGGCTCTTTGGTCCCTTGAGTGTGGCTCTTCCACAAAATACCGACTTCTGCGCATGGGCCATGAAGTTTCAATCGCACTGTACCTGCGCTCCCGCACGTGGTATTTTGTGGAAGAGCCACACTCAAGGGGCCAAAGAGCCACGTGTGGCTCGCAAGCCGCAGTTTGCCGACCACTGATAGATATTCAATCGTTCTGCTCAGTGTTTCCCCCAGAACTTTTTTAAAATAAGAAAAACACTTTCCTTAGCTTCATTTTAGTTGAATATATTAGAGATTGGTGAGAATGAAGTTTTCTTTGCAAGCTGGTGTTTAGAGAAAGGAAAACGAAAGACACGGGTTATTCAATGAATGCCCCATTTTCCAGGGCTTCCTTAGTATGCATTGCCCTTTTCCATTCCCAGGGAAATAAATCTCTCTTGTCAAGAAGTTGATAGTAAGGTGGGCTAAGGCAAAACTTTTCTCTTGACCTATGGATAGAAAATAAGTCATTGTAAGAGAAGAAATGGAAAAGGGACATCTAGCAGGGTGAGTAACCCTTCTTTTCCTTGTCTGTAAGTCAAATGAATTTGAATACATTGATGCTTGAGATATTGGTGAAATCAGTGTTCTCTGATTATTAAGTGTGATTCAAAATGGCCTTTCCAAGTTTGGTGAAAGCATACATAATTCTATAAACAAAGTAAGGATTGAGTCTTGAACTTACTTTTTTTCCATATCTGATGAAACTTCCCTGGGTTCTTGCATTTATTCTCTTGATCCATTCTCTTCATTGCTGCACAGCTATACAATGATACCATTCACATACTTTAAATTCCTGAAAGCTTGTTTCATTTACTTCTCAAATAATTGGCAATATTTTGAATGTGTGTGATTTGGGGTTTGTGATTCTGTTATTTAGGAGATGCCAAAATTGGCAATAACAGTGTCAGCTCTCTAAAGAATGATGACTTCACCATGAGGGGTTTGCGACGTGATGGGAATGCTGATGATATCTGGACTGCCTCACAAACTGCAAAATCATGCGGGAGAAGCATTTCCATGGAAACTGCCAACTTAAAAGAATATGCTAGATATGTACTGAGAACTATTTGTCAACAGGTATCTTCAGATTTAGTTGGCCTTTAACTTTGAATATGTAACTTATTTTGGAAAGAATCTCACTATTGTACAAAACGTGTACATAGATGGTCCTTTTTATCCTGCTTTGTTTTGACATAATTTCAAATTTGCTGAAAAGTTGCAATAATAGTAAAGAACTCTAGTATAGCCTTTATACAAATTCACTAACTTTTTAAATTTTGCCACATTGCTTTATAATTCTATTTGTGTGTGTTAGTATGGATGCATATACTTAAAAAATTCTTTTCTGAGCCATTTGAGAGTAGTTGGCATACATTATTCTGTTTTACTTTTGAATACTTTAGTGTTTGTTAACATGAACAAAATACAGTTAAAAAAAACTCAGGAAATTTAGCATTAGTACAGTAAATTCTTGTCACCTATAGACCTCATTCTAATTTTGTCAGTTGTTCCAACTGTGTTGGATTTGTGTGAAGTTTCCTGTAGATTAGCTTCAGATTATGCATTCCTAGCTAGATACTGCAGCGGTAATGCTGGGTTCTTCTCGGGTACTCACATCGGAAGGCCCGTGATGTCCACTGGCACCTCATTGGTGATGTTAACCTTATCAAGATGTCTCCATTGTATGATTTCAAAATTTCTCTACTGGATAATTATTATTTTTTCCTTGTAATTACTAAGCAGTCTTTGAAGAGACACTTTAAGACAATGCAAATATTCTCATCAAATTCTCTCACCTCCCATGTTGCTTCCATTTTGATTCTTGTCCAAACCAGTCTTCACTATGATGGGTGCAAGATGGTGATTTTCCTCCAAACTCCTCTCCTCTCCAGTTATCAGTTTGCACTCTTCCCTAAGGAAAAGCCCGCCCTTAACTTATATTTACTAATTTTCCGTATGGATTATGATTTACTGTCCTTGGTTATGTTCATGTTCAAATTGCCCAGATTTTTCTGGTGGGACTCTTTTCATGCTGGATCTCTTGTTATTTTGATATGTCTTTATGTTTATTTTTTATTTATTTTTTTAACTTTCTGGCTCCTTTTGTACTTTCCCTGCCCCAGATCTAGAATTACTCATTCCTCTGAAGAACCTTGATTCTGTTTAGCACAAGATGATATTTAGAAACCAAGATCAAGGCACTGTGTGTGCTCATTGTTTTAGGCCTTTTCAGCAGACAGAGCTAAGGAAAAAACATATCTATATACATAAATGTGTGTGTAAATCACGAGTTCATACTGATTCCTTTACTTTCAATCCAACCCCACAAAGTCCTTTGTTTTCCCCATTCCACATTAATATTGCCTTCTTCCACACTATGAGCCCCACTCCCAATAATATTAACCCTTTACTCATTTGCTTTATTCTGTAAAATACCTGTAATAGTTTCAGAATTGCTACACCCATACTACTAGGAAAAACAAGCTTACTAAAAGGATTTGAAGATTTGTTTATAGTTCTTCCCTAAGAGTTTACCATATTATGTTAAGAAGTCATCTGAACTTTCTCCCTCACTGTGGATATATTTCTTGCTTGAAATAGAACTGATTTTTATTTGTTTTTGTTTACATTCAGTGTAGGTCCATTCCCACACCCCCTCGCCCAGCTCTGTCTTTAGAATAGCATGCTCCCACAGGCCAACTATGCAAAAGGTATACTCAGAGATATGTCCTCTCTCCCTAATCCCTGCTACCCTTTGTCTCACCCTGCCCTAAGTGGCCAGTTTCATCATCTTCTGCTTTAACTTTTCATATATTTAAAAAAAATTTTCTCCTTACTTAGTAAAAGAATCAAGGCATACCATATATACTCTTTTTACGTTCCAAATGTTGACAGGGTCATGTTTTTATAAGGCATATTATAACCATGGTAAAAGTTAGCTAAATAGTTATATAGGTACTAGAGGCCTGGTGCATGAATTCATGCACCAGTGGGGTCTGGCCAGCCTGCCCGGGCCAATCGGGTGGGGCTGGCTTTAGGGAGGGGACTCGAGAGTTTGGCCAGCTGGCCCCACCCCCAATTGGGGTGGTGGGGGCAATTGGGGGCAGGGCCGGCCTGGGGGAGAGGCCATGGGTGGTTGGCCAGCTGTCCCCGCCCCCATGGTTGAATTCCAGGTCGAACTTCTGGTCAAGGGGACAATTTGCATATTAGCCTTTTATTATATAGGATTAAGAAGTTGTTGGGTTGTGCACTGGTTCCATACTGTGAGGGCAATTGGAATTACAGTGGGGCCTTGACTTACGAGTGTCCCGACTAACGAGTTTTTTGAGATACCAGCTGTCTCTTGGCCAATTTTTTGCATTGAGTTGACAGAGTAATTTGAGTTAACGAGCTCCTTAAGGAGCTCCTTAACAAGCTCGGTCTCACAACGAATTAAACACGTAAGTCAAGGCCCCACTGTACCTAAGGAGTTAAAATTGTTTTTGATGCCTTAAGAAAATGACTGCTATCTGGTCCACAACCTAAGATTGACTTAATTGATTTGATGTCGGGCCCACACTTTGTTAACAAGGTCCTCAGGTGATTTTAATGGATAATCAGTGTTTAGTCATAGGTGTAGTGGTTAAGAAACAGGTTTCATTTTAAACAGATCTGGGCTCAAATGGGGCTCAGAAACAGTTGACAAAATCTTACCTAATCCAATCTAATAAAAGAGTAATATGCAAATTGACCATCATTCCAACACAAGATGGCCGCCCCCATGTGGACACAAGATGGCCAGCAGGGGAGGACAGTTAGGGGCAACAAGGCTGGCAGGGGAGTGGTTAGGGGCAATCAGGCAGGCAGGCAGGTGAGCGGTTGGGAGCCAGCAGTCCTCAATTGTGAGAGGGGTCCCAGATTGAAGAGGGTGCAGGCTGGGCTGAGGGACACACACCCTTCCCCCCCCCCCATGCACAAGTTTCGTGCACCGGGGCTCTAGTTTAAAATAAGAGTTTCCTTTGAAAAACTGATGAAGAAAATGTGATAAAAGTTTAAATTAGTAGAAACTCTCTACAGGTTAATTAGCCATATGCATCAATAGCCTTAAATTTTTGCTATACTTCTTAACCCAGCAATTGCACTTTATGAAATTATCCTGAGAAATCAATTGTACAGAGAATAGATGTGCACAAACATTTATTTATAATACTAACATTGTAATATCAAACAGGAAGACAGTTTTCTGAATGTTATACTGTGTTCTATTCAGTAGAACATAGCATTATGCATTTCATAAAAATGACATCTTATAAATAGACTCATTGCCCTTACATATGGCAAGCTAAAAAAATTGATCATAAAACAGTTGCAAGAACAAGAACCCATTTTCCAATTGAAACACATACCAATATTTTCCTTAGCTTTCTTTTCTTTCCTTTTTTTTTTGCACATCTATTTTTTAAGGTTTTCTTTATCCAAGGTTTCACTTTGTATTTAAGAATTTAAAATACTAGAAAAGTTTGTTTTTAAAACTTCTGCCACCATTTTGTGTATGTAATATTTTGTTAATTGAAAGATTCCTGTCTGCTTTATATTCCATTATGTGCCATGAACTTAGTACATATTACATAGGCATATAGAAAGCCCATGCCTACCAATCTAACTGCTGTATGATTTTTAGGAATGGGTAGGAGAACATTGCTTAAAAGAACCTGAAAGATTGTGCACAGACAAAGAACTAATCTTGGACCCTGTGCTTTCAAATATGCAAGCACAGAAACTACTGCAGCTCATCTGTTATCCTCATGGCATTAAAGAATGTACTGAGGGGGACAACTTGCAAAGACAGCACATTAAGCGCATTCTTCAGGTGAGTGTCAGTAATTTAAAGATTATGTTTCTGTGATTTGACACATTCTTTGTAATTATAACAAAAATGACTGTAGCATTCCCACAGGCTCTCTTAGGCTTTTCTTATGCCTTAAGACACATCTTGCTAACAAATGTGCAAAATAAGTCGAGATAAAGCCAGATGCTCACAGGCATGATTTAAAAACCATGGTGGCTGGATGCTGAGAGGCTGTGTGTGGTTCCCAGGGAAGGGGTTTGGTGCCTGGACTCCCCTCGCTGCTGGGTGCCCACTGCCTCCATCACAGCTTACTGCACAGCAAGCACAGCACTGTTTTTGCACTCTCCGATTTCATTCTGTTAGCAAAAACAGGCTAATGTAGGTCTTTCCTAAAAGTAAAGTGCTTGCCCTGCCCTGTGTGGTTCAGTTGGTAGAGCATCGTCTGTGCACTGAAAGTTCGATTTCCCAGTCAGGGCACATGCCCAGGTTGCAGCTTGATCCCCGGTGCAGAGGGAA